ATGTTCAATCCCTAATTCTTATGGCAAGTAGTTGTACTTGCAGTGTCAGCATGGCCATAGCTATGGAATCTGTGGGTTTCTCGACTTAGGACCATTGCCAGCAGCCAAAATCCCGAAAGGCAGCGCGTGGGCCGCTCGACAAGTGGTGACCTAAAAGGCGTCTGTTGTTCGGTCACTGGCCCAGTGAGATATCTGATCGTTTTATAGGTGTAGCCTTTGTGCCAGTAACCCGGAAAGACCATTGTGTGACGAATGAAAACATCATGTATGATTTTCCGCGGGTTGCTTGGAAAAGCCTGGAATGGCCACTTGCAGCACAGGAGAAAACAACATCGTGCAAATCCCCCACCCCCCCCAACCTCCCCATTGCAATGAAGCCGCCTTGTTTGGCCTGGGCTGAAAATACACCCCCCCGCCCCGGAGTTGCAGCTGCTTGGCAATAAGCAACCTGGTTGCTTTTATGTAGTGGATGTTTTGACAGCAGGATCCCAGACAAGTTCCGATGTTTCGGGAACCAGGGGAACCATTGACAGTACAACCGAAAGGTAGAGAAACTAATTTGTTTAGTTCCTGCCGTCTTTCAAGGGATCCCTTATATATGTTCATTAGACAAATGCCCAACACTGAGAGCAATTGCCACACATGATGGATATTTTCACAACATTGCCAAACCCTGGTACTGTGCAGAACATGATTGCTGGGGATCAACCTGTGAAGCAACTGCCTGAACGGAGGTATTTTGTTTCACCACATGAGGGTTGTTCAAGCACAAAGGAGTCACAGTGTCCTGATACCCTGATATCCTTGTTAGAACGGCTTGAACATTTAAGACCCTGTCCGTTCCTTTTAGGGAGGGGCCAGAATCCAACAAAAAGGCAACCCCTTTTTGAACCTCCTTATGGCTGCCTGCGTTGGTTCACCGGATAGGCATGCAGCCCGAAATGGAGCAGACCAAGCGCATCCTGCAGGTGCGGCCGGAGCTGTGCTCTGGTGCTAAAGAACCACACGTGGGCCTTGGGAGACAGTAGATGGCACAATTTTGAGTGAAACGAACATGGGGCATGCTGAACAAATCATTTTTTGTCATTTAACTGACTATTTTCAATGTGATTCAAACAATGCAAATATCACTGGAATAAACTTCGGTGGACTTGATATCAATGGAACTATAACTTCCCACAAAGTGTTGAAACACTAAATTTTAGTGACAATAATTAACAAGGTTAAAATAATTTCTGGAACAACATTTATCGATTTAAAACTATTGATTTGTCATGCAACAGGTTTAGCGGAATCCGGGGATGATTTGTCTTCATGGGGAAGACGTGTCATCTACTTTCTCGTCTGGGCAAAGCTCGGCAAAGCCATGTTCAGGTCCCTTGGGGATTCCTTGATTCCTTTAAGTGAATTTCAGCAACCCAGAGTCAGAACCTCCTGAAGTGGCATGTTCAGTGGACACCACCAATAAGTTGATCGACTTTTTGTTTGGAAATCCAGAGACCTCTGAGAGTTCCGATTTTTTCATCAAACCACAAGATGTGATGTTCCAGCGAGCGAGCTTATCGGGGCAACATCAGGCTTTGCAACTTCGCAGGAGTATTCACAAGCCATGGAACTTGGGGTGGCCTCTAGCCGACCTGCAACAGTGCCGGAAGACGTGGCTAGGGAATTAGCTGAGTGAATGCTCCTCACTCGAGTTCCTGGACTTCATCTTCTTTGCACCAGAAACAGACAACACTGGTCTTAGCTGGAGGCTATGCCGGTCTACGAAAATTACCCTGACTTTCTTACAACTAGAAAGTCTACCCGTTTGAAAGAAACACGGTCCGGCGCATATGCATGGGTGTGACTTTTTGGGGGGACATCAACAGGAAACACCCACCCGTTTTGGGGGTCCACCATGTTGATGGTCCACCATGTTGAAGATCCATATCATCCCCTGAGTTGCTTTTCTCCAGGGGCGAAACGCAAATGAAGGTTTGAGTGGCAAAAGAAGGATAGATGCAAATGAAGAAGATTAATGATCAGCCTTTCAGTGAGCATCAAGAAATGCCCAACAACCTGTCACCAAATCTTATCCAACCGGCGTGCCCAAATTGATTCGCGTGCCCAAATTGATTCCCTGTCTCAGGGCTCAGCCACGATAGGTGGCCCTTGTACTCTGTAGTTAGAGCTTCCATTTGTGTTTCAGAATGTTGTTTACTCCCCCTGCTGGTTTTGGAGGGAATTACTTGCAATATGCTTGATTTTTCCTGTTGCATGTCCCAGAGGACTCAAGCAACTGGAGGATACACACATGAGATGAGTATGTCGAATGGTTTCTATTATGGGCACCTACCGCAAAGGGAACATGTTTGAGCACTTAGGCCCGTACCCAAACCGGACCCTTCCCCCTACATCATGCACAGAGTGCGCTTGTCCCAGTGGGTGGGGAATATGGAGTGAGGGTTGGCCTCGTTTCCATCCGTTCACCCTGTGCTTTTCAAGTACCAGTCCTTTGGCAATCAATTGGATGCCTGGCTGCAGTATCTTTCAGCTGCAATGGGCCCTCTACTTGAGCCAGTTTTGGGGATCCGTGAGGAAAACACAGCTAAGTGTCAACGTGATGTCACGGGCCTTCTATCAATTCAGACCCTGCAGTTTGGACCCCAGCCTGTTTCTTGGTCCCACAAGCCAAAAGGTAACATGACAGGCTCGCGGTTGGACACATAGGGGCACGTTCCGCCCCCCCCCCCCTCTCTTGGTTTGAACCACGGTGCTTCCAAAGATCCATACGCACGGTACGTAACCACGGCAACCACCCTTGGACAAGCGCATGGCTGCTTGCCTACAGTGGCAGGGATCCACTGGGAAGGGTGGGCAGACATGTTCAATATACATGAGCCACAAAACCCGGGTATTTAACTGGAAGGTATGGCAGGCCCAAACATCAATAGTTGAGGAAATCCACCCTATCCGTGTCGTTGCATGAATCTGGGTAATCCGGTAGTCCTGTTTAATGCCAGGTGTTAATTATGACTCACAATGGTGCCAATCAAAATGCACCAAAGGCCGCAATGTGACGTTTAAAAACCATTTTTCAGTATCCAGTCGGCATGAAAAGCCAAAGTTCAGCTCTTGCTTTTGACCAACTTCGTCTCAGTACCGAGCAGGTGGTTTGCCTTGCCTGTGCTTAAACCAGACCTTTGGTCCCCATCGAAACGGAGTCGATCCAGCCAACCACCACCAGGACAGGAATCTGGTGAAGAGCCTGCGCTATGACAGCCAGTTCTACAAGACGGGTGCATTTCGGTGGGAGTTGCATTAGTTGCAATGGCACTCCGATGCCTTTTTGCTTGCTTTGTAAATGGGAATTTCTCAGTTGAGATACCGGTGGCTTTGACCGCGAACGTCTTTGCCTGATTTGGAATGCTTGAGCGAACCCAGGTCATCCCAGTTACTAGGTAACCGTTCAGTTTTGATTGTCAGACTTGTATAGGTAAGTTTCTTCCATTTTCAGCCCACAAAGGGATTCCCTCATTTTCCATTTCAGTCAGCAAAAGTTCACCTTTTTTTCTTTTCTTTTTTTTTTCGCAGGGCGTCCAAGTCTGCCCAAGTTTTTGAAAGTTTCACTTGGTTACGTATGAATATATTGTTATATAGTTGTATGCATATGATACAGGGCAAAGTAATCAGTGAGCCGACCCTCCTGTAGCTTTTGCACCTGGGATCTCCCATCACTTCCCTTCATCGGTCTTCCGCTGGTTTCCGCTGGTTTCCCCTTTTAGCTCGGCTTCCGCAAATCGTCAACCTCTGGTCGAAGGTCCAGCTTCTTTTTTCTAGGGGGTCAGTGAACTGAGTCCAGGTACCTGCCAGGTGCTTTTTGGGTATCGGATTCAGGAGGTGTGTTTCGCTGTCCAAACGCGGCTATGCTAACAAGACTCGGGACTTTCGAAGCAACGCGACCAGAGCAAGGGGCTCGTGTACCGTGTTCCCGGTGGAACCTGTTACCGGCGACAGGCTCACTCCCTAGTAAAGGCTTCTATGAAGGAACTAGATCTATTACCTGCATTTGGGCACATAAAAAGTCTTGACCATAGCGCATGTGGGTGTGTCTGAAAATAGAAGACTTTCAATAATTATTTGTTGTCTGCAACTTTCTTTCAAAAGCAATCCGAAACAGTTACTTTGCTTGAACAACCCCCAACTAAGAAATGTATTTGGCTAAACTAGGCTGCAATCGCACAGACACCAAAAATAATCCGACTGCCTGCGGGGCCTCAAGCATGGTGCTGGCTGATGTGACGGCAAAGAGACTCAGTCAAACCAAAATGGAACCAAGGCAGCGTTGACCCCTAATCAGTAGCAGCCTCAGCTGTTACCGACATCACGGAGATTCCCCGGCAGCACTCCGAGTTTTGGGTGGATAGCAGATGAAAATCAGCGGAACGTGTGGGTCAAAGGTTGCCAGAGCCAAACAAGTCTAGGGACGCGCGTGCTCACTCAAGGCGCGAGGACGTGCTTCTGGCGCCAAGCCGCCACATCTTTGAGCACCGACGAAACGCTGCAGTCAAGCAGCCCATCCAGCAAAACGAAAGCTCCATGGAAGGCGGCGCAACTTGTCGCCAAATTCGCTAGGAGCGTGGTTCTGAACGCTCTTGGGTCCTTGCCTTGCTTGCTCAGCTGTCTGTCGCAATTGTCCGTCACTGCGCGTTGGTTCACTTCTAGTTGCGGGGAAAAACCCTGTCCCCACAAGGACACACACACACACTAGGCTGGCCGGCGCTTTGGGTTGAGGCAGCGCTGGCAAATAACATAAAACAAGCGCTGCGCAAGATGTGAGTGACTGCCGTGTGCCGCGCAGCGGCCCAAGCTGAGATGATTCGGGCCAAGGCAAGATTCACAAGAAGAGCCCTAAGCAGAGTTGCAGATGCAAAAACATGGTGTCCCGCGTTTGCTTTTTCATTAGCCATGTGTTCTGAAATAACGTACCCAACTACCCGAAGCGCAGCTTGAGCTTC